TTAAAATAGAAAAAGAAATTGAGGACACATAGTCTTCAATCATTTTTTTCTGCAGCCTCTATTCTAAATGAATGGAAAATTCATTATAAGAAATAAGAAAATATTTACTATCAAGCAGTTTCTGAATGGGGAGGAGCCTCTGTACAGAGTGCTTCTCCCCATTGAAAAAATCATGAATGAACGGGAGGTGATGTAAAATCACATCCTGTTCATTCATTTATAACTGGGGACACATAGTACAGAGTGAAAGAGGGAAGTGAAAGAGCACTTCAGCCGCGGGGGGGAGGGGGGATGTGTCGGAGCCGCTGTGACAGAACGGAAGAGCAGTGAGGGGAGATAGAGGCACCGGCTGTCAGATCCTGGCCGAGCGTATGGTACGGTCTGACCACCCCTATGTCTTGCAGAAACTCCGTCTCTCATTTTCAGTCTGTTAAACTAAATCTTTAATAAAGGAGAATGCCTAAATTTAATTTTCACAAATAAAAGGCACCAACCCAAAAGGTGAATGACCCCAAAAGTGCCTTTGGTTGTTCACAATTCTACCAAATAACAGCCAATGCATTTTTGCGGACAACAAACCTCCCCTTCATCAGCGCTTAGAATAGGACAAGGATTTGATTGGGTTCTAAAAGATACTGTAACCAAATTGATCTCTACATGATTTGCTATAAATATCTCCTTTAGGGCTGGAAATGTAATCGGCAGCAGCAGTGGATGGTGACATCATGTTCTGCCCCTTATCTAATGAGAGTACGCCTTGAATTCATTGCAACAAATATTAGGCATTCTCTGGATTTCCACTGTGCTGAGTGAGCAATTTCCTCTGTTTCCAGAGCAAAGGGAAAGCCACTCAGCACAGTGCCATACAGGACCCAGAATATCGCTGTCAGCTCCAGAGTCTACAGTGCTTTACAGTTGGTTCAGCTTGGCCCAGTGTAAGTGTGCGTAATTATTCATACCTGGAGGTCAGTTTTAAATACCCAATCATATGCAAGCGCGTTTACAAAAAACAGGATTTTTGCAGGCACATGATTGGATGATTGAAGTAAATACAGCTGAACGTTGTTCACTTTACGTGAACAGTCCTTATTCTTTAGCAAATCAATCCCCTTTTACAATCCCAATAAAAGAAGAATGCTAGGCAGAATAAAACCTAAACTGTGCATTGGGGCTACCCCTGCACTACAAGAGTTAAGTGCTCATTTTCATCTAGGGTGTAAAATTATCCTCAGTCCTGTTTAGCGGCTAAACTGGCCCCTGCAGCATCTTGTCCCCCTCCGCTCCGGTGTCTAATTTACCATGAGTCATAAAATCTAATACAGTGTATTAGACATGAGGGTGCAGAGGGACATTCCACCACTGGAGAGGAGAGGGTGACATAGGCTGTGCAGGAGTCGGTCTAGCAGCCAGCGGGACTGAGTTTTCAGGTGAGTATGTCTTTCCAATTTTTGCACCCTAGAAGAAAATTAGCACTTAACTCTTGCAGTGCTGGGGTAGCCCCAATTCACGGTATAGGTTTTATTCTGCCTAGAGTTCTTCTATAAATGAAAAGACTGTTTCAACAACTTAGACTGCGCTTTACAGTGCCACCTGTAATAGTTTATTTAAAATTTGTCTGAATGTATTGTATTTTCTATATCATAGTAAATTATTTTACTGGCTCTAAACATTGCTATATACCAAGTAACATATTACCTCTGTACCAAAAAATTGCTTGATAATTGTACTGAGTTTTATAAGATTCTTTAAATATTCTCCCTTTTAATGTCTTACCTAGGAACCATCAAAAGAAGAAGTTCACCATGTCTTCCCTACAGTTGATGCCCCAGATCATGTTCACTATACAATTGGAGCTGTGATCCTGGCAGTAGGAATAACAGGAATGCTGGGTAACTTCCTGGTCATCTATGCATTCTCCAGGTACTGACATGTGCCACTCTGGAGCCAGTCAAAAGTCACCCCAATGTTAAAGTGGCATGGAACGTTTGGCATGAACTAAACATTCATTTGAGTTAATGGAGAACTATGAGGCGAGTGATTCTCACTCAGCCTCATAGTTCTAGCCGGGATCCGGTGCGGCTGCGGCGTCTCAGTATACCGCGAGCCGAAGCTCGCAGGTAAACTGAGCTGTGTGTGACGGCAGGACGCTAGTTTGTGTCCTCCCGTTACCCTTAGGAGAACTATGGGGAAAAGCCCTAACCCCATAGTTGTCCTTTAAGTATTAGCAACAACTAACACTCAAATCCAGGCAAACACTTAAATACACAGTTGATATATAGTTTTCCCTTTTGTCCTGCCAATCCTGAGATTTACAGAGCTCTGCGGGACAGCACAGCCAGGTTGCTGACCTGACTACTGACTATTACTGCAATTAGAGCAGCCTGGCAGTCTCCCTGCCAACAGTCTGGAATTGGGCAATAAAGAATCAGCAGCATACTGGTGACCTTTTACAGCTTGTACAGCAGAGCTCAGACAGAGAGGTATGGGCAGCTCTAGTATTAAGATTCAGGCACTTACGGTGGTTGCGTTTAAAATACATTTCAGAATTTTCCTTATGAATACAGAACTGCATTCATTGGTGTTTTTTTTTACATGTGCCCAGAGTTAATCTTTAATGGATATATAAGATAACACCATATAGAAGACAGCAACCTTTTTATTTTATAATGCAGAATATGATTTGTATTATTCTATTATGTGCAAGCTAATTTTGTTGCATGCTTTTTGTTTGATGAGAATTATAGAAACTTTAAAAAGCAGTGAAAAAAAATCAAACTAATTATATTATGTCTTGTTGGATTTACATCATCCATTTTCCTGTATTAAATATCATCTGACTTTACCCTAAATGCTAATCAGATTAAGAAAATCTGATTGAAACAGCACTCTGAAATGTGCTTAGAACATTAACTCTGTGGGCCAGGTAACCTACATTCATCTTGGTTTACAAAAGAGTCTAGAGTTTGTGTAATGCAGAGGAGTTTAGCAAGCAGTACTGCTTTTGCAGGACACTATCAGGCACTATCTAATTTTTACTCAACTTCATTAACATAGAACAGGGACAAGCAAAGCACATGGGAAATAATGGCAGGTTTGCACCATGGCTTTGTCAGTTCAGTCTCCTATAAAATATCTAATAATGGTATCTCAGTGCTTGGCTGGGATCTATAGTGCGTGGCAGGAATACAGCATAGCTCTCTAAAGTATACAGTTTGTGGCACAAAGTGGCCATCTCAAGATGGCTGTGCTTGATAAGATTAAAGTGTATCCACTTTTGCTGCCAATCTGGGATAATGTCCATTTAATATTGTGTTACACATTCTCATTCACATAGTATATCTTAAAAAACTTAACATAATTTAAAAAAAATATTAAAAAATGTCTGCCATTTTAAGTGCTTTACACTTTATGTAATGTTAAGGATGGCGCTGTGTCAGGTTAACTAGTAAACTAGACTTGAATACTGTGTGTCCTAACAAAGGGGTTAAATGAAAGAAAGCTCAGTCCGTCCCTCATTTTGCCCCTTTATGTCACTTTCAAACTGCTCAGAGTAGCTTGGAATCTGCACAAAAGCCTTTACCAAAGAAAGATCTAGGTAAGAAATATATTCTGAAAATTATTTCTAGGTATGCTGCGTGAATGGGAACACATAACAAACATATAGTGTAGTTTTTATAAATTTGAGAGCAAAATTGGAACTACACTTTGAGAGCAGTACTGAGGCCTCTCTGCCCTCGTTGTTTCTACTAAGCAGTTCAGGTGTGTGTTGTGGCACATCTGTGCTGCACATTGTCTCCGCTTTTCATGCACCATGAGCTGGGGTAGCTAACAATTTTTTTCAAATTGCCAAATTGCACAGCCAGTCCCCCTCGCGGGTTTTCTGCAGTGCCACATCCTGCCCCTTTCTTGTCCAGGTCCTCCACTTCTATACTATACAGAGCAAGCACAATCAATGTAGCAGATGATTGCCAAGTGGTCCTTTCAAGTCTTTGGCATGTGAGGTGGTGCTGGTCATTTTTTTCCAGATGGTTCTGGTCGCTCAAACCCAAAGCTGGAAATATCAGATGGTAGCGGTTTGTAAAACCCAAATGTCTGCCCTTGACTGCTAAAATTTTGGAAAAACCACTAATGGTGGTGATTATTTAGTAAAGTGACATTAAATGTATATGGGCAGATTGTTGTAAAGTCAGAACTTTCTACATCTTGTCCAATGCACATTGACTCAATACTAGAATGTCCTAATATACATTAAGGGGTCTATTCACGAAGCTGCCGAAGGATCTAGCCGTAGCTTCGGCCGATCCTTCGGCCAGCTTCGGCCCCAGGACCCCTTTGGTTCAGTAGAACCAAAGGGGTGCTGTACGGGCTATTCACCATAGCCCGTACAGCTCCCGAATGTGGCCGAGTGGCTCAGTCGGGCCAAACGCATATGCATCAAAAAAGCCGGTGGGCGGAGCCAGTCGTGATCTTACGGCTGGCTCCGGCCACTTGCAGAGAGATCAGCGTCCCTGGTTACCTGCTAACCAGGGACACTGATCTCCAAACAGCTAACTCTCCCTGGCGCCGCGGGAGTCTCCTGCTTCCGGCCGCCAAGGAGAGAAACACTGCTGTTTCTTTTTTTTCTTTATTCTGACACGAGCAATGTCAGAAAAAAAAAAATTCCCATTGAAATGCATTGCTATTGGCTATTTTAATTTGCAATAGCCAATAGTAAACTAACATTGTACCCGCCCTCTGCTGCAGTTCTCCATCAGGTCCATCAGCAGAGGGCGGGTACAATGCTAGTTTAATATTGGCTATTGCAAATTTAATAGCCAATAGTAATGTAGCAATGCATTTCAATGGGAATTATTTTTTTTTTTTCTATTCTGACATCGCTCGTGTCAGAATAAAGAAAAAGAAAGACACAGCAGTGTTTCTCTCCTGGGCGGCCGGGAGCAGGAGGCTCCCAGAGCGCCCGGGATAATTTTTTTTTTTTACTTTTTGACGGCAGCAGAGCCGCCGGACAATAGGAAACTATTGGGTGGAGCTAGCTGTCACTGCTAGCTCCGCACAATCGTTTTCTATTTACTTTTTTTTACCTTTTTAAACTATTTTTCTGTTCTGCTCGGACCGAGCAGAATAGCCGAGCCGAATGCCGCTCAGCGGCATTCGGCTATTCACTCACTGCTGTTGGCATCTATAAGAATAGGCCGAACAGCAGTGAGTAGCCTGCCGGAGGTTCGGCTCAGCCGATCCAGATGTTGGATCGGCTGAGTCGAACTCCTTCTGCACTTCGGGTCCACCTGAAGCCATGTGAAGCAAGCCGATGTACGGCTGATTTCAGCCAATGTACGGCTGATTTCAGCCAATGTACGGCTGAAATCAGCCGTACCAGCCTGAAGTGAATAGCCGAACAGTGTTCGGCTCACTTCACTTGGGGTCGGTTGTTCACTCGGCTGCCCTCGGCAGCTTAGTGAATAGACCCCTAAGTTGTCAGATAACACAGAAATAAAATGTTTGACATTTTCTCTTATTGATGATAACCTTGCAATAGCAATTTGTTTTCACCTTTCGTTAATAACAGAGCTATAGTTTTCTTCAACCTCTGACACATCAAGGAGTGTTGGAGGCTTTCCGTGCCTCCACAAGGGTGTCTGGCTGCTGCCTGTGAAGCCTGTGTGAGTAACAGAATTGTACAGGCAGGCTTCTCAACCTGTTCTTAGCATCGGAAATCACCACTGTCACTGATAATATGCAAGCACTCTTCCACACACAGCATAGGGCACCAGAGACCTCACCAATAGACCTGTAAAAAAATAAAAAACAAAAATGCAAACAGGTCTACCTGTAAAACAAAGTATGACCACTAACCTTTCCCACTGTCCTCACCACAAGAACATTACTCTGTTCAAAAGAAATTCTCAGTTTAAAGTGACACTAAACTCTGTAGTTAAACCTAAATGCATTCAAGTACCTTAATTAATAACAAAAAATATAGCTGATTTGTGCATCACTCGGCTTTAGATCCTCAAATCATCTCTGAATTGGTGCTTCCACTGTCCCTCCTTCTGGAGTGTGGCTACGTTTGTTCCCCATGGTCCCTGTGTGTGTTGTAAAGTGATACAAGCTTGCTCCTGTAATGGAATATAATCTCAATACAAATTAGTTAACTAAAAATGAGATTGTATCACATACCTGGTTAGAGACTGAGTGTGAGGAGGCCTCCCTTGCACCTCGTTTCCCGAGGACTCTGAGGTTGGGGACAGAGTCCAAGTAGACAGCGAGTGGCACGAGTGCCAGTGGTGATGACACCGTGAAAGCCGATATCCAAGTAATCAAGCCGGGGTCAGATCTAATCGAGCAATCACAGTACAGAGGGGTCAGGCAAAATCAAAGTCCAGTAATCAAATCCGAGGTCGGGAGCAGGCAGCAAGCAAGAATCGTCAGGTCCAATCCGGGTCAAAGCAAGCCAAGAAGAATATCACAGAAATACAGAAACACGGGAGAGCTGAAAGAGAATCCAGCAATATGGTGGTGCTCGAGCCGGGTTTATATATGGGAAGTAGTTAGGTTGATGTGCCACTTCCTGTGCGCCATTGTGGCGCGCTTTTGCATGGCTGGAGGTGATCTTCTGCGCATGCGTGGAATAGCGTGTTTCTCGCTAGTACGGCAATGCGCACTTGGCGCATGCGCAGTTACAGGGGATCTCTTACAGATTTTTATCCATCATGGGAGTGAGCTTGGAGCGGTGGCTACTTTACAACACACACAGGGACCATATGGGAACAAAAGTAGCCACCCTCCAGAGGGAAGGACAGTGTCATCATGAATTTGGAGAAGATTTGAGGATCTACAGCTGAGTGATACACAAATAAGATACACTTTTGTTATTAGTTAAGGTAGTTGAATGTATTTTTAAGGTTCAACTTCTGAGTTTAGTGTCACTTAAAGCCCAGCATGTCCGGCAGTGTCAATCTTCTTGGTCCCCCACAATGCTCAGCAATTCCTCACATTTGCCCTCATGTCACAGCTGTGTCGGGAGGAAACACTGAACAAGGTGAGTATATTCTGCATGGAAGGTTAGCAATTATAGTGACTCGGCTTGGCCAAGGAAAAGGTCACTTCATTCAAGGTAAATATGAAAAAAGAGAATATAGTATAGTAACATAGTATGGCTCAGCAGTTAGGACTGCGATCTTGCAACACTGGCGTTGTGGATTCAGTGTCCACCAATTTTATTTTTTTCAAAATACTTTTTATTTTAAATGTTTTTTGGTTTACAGACAAGCAAACAAAGAAAACAAGTAAATAAAGGTTGTGCTCAGCACAGCTGCTCGGATTGAATAATGAATAGTTTACTTATGTTATAGATATGTACCAAAAATCCTAGCATTGTGGAACAATTTAAAATAGTATCCCTATGCTTGCTGGGATTTCAACTCAGAATCTATAAACATGCTGTTTTTTAAGCCTAATTCCAGTTAAACCTGACCCTAGTATGTGCAGGGCCATATGAATGTTATAGAGCCATGAGCTACTAAGCTCCCTTTCAGGTCATGAAACAGATGGCTCTATGTGGTCTGTAAATCACTATGGAAGTAACACTGCAACACTATAAATATGTTCATTTATATCATATAAGGTCTCACAATAGAGGGTTGCATAATAAAAGTAATCTAGTGGGACTTTATGCACTTTATCATAAACCCTGATTATTTCATGAAGTTCATGAGTGTACTTTTTTGTCAAATCTGAAGCCAGGGGTTGTCATGAAGATCTGAAGAAACAACTGATGCATTATCTAATCAGAATGTGTAATCTCCATATTTAGTAGTCAGACTTAATCTCATCAAGTGTAGAAAATGCCCCTGATCCCCAAGCTCAACATCACCTAAATCCAGAAAATCAGTGAAGGAGGTCACTGTTAATTTCCTGCAGAGGATAGAAGAGAGCATGCAGTAGGGCAGTAGCTGAACCTAGGCCGGATAATTAAATGCTGCTGAGCAGTGCAAGCTAATATGGACTAAATTCAATTTCTCTTCCATCACTTGGCAGCTGGTTTTACTGGTCATCACAGCTTTGCATTAATAAAACCTCAATCTTTTTTTCTACATAGGAGTAGGAGTCTTCGATCTCCAGCCAACATGTTCATTATCAACCTAGCTATTAGTGACTTCTTCATGTCCATAACTCAGGCACCAGTGTTTTTTGCAGCAAGCCTACATAAACGATGGATCTTCGGAGAGAAAGGTAAATAACGGATTGAACAAGATTGAATGAAAATACTGAGCATGGTCAATGGGAAAGTAGGTCATCCTCATCACAGTGTGGAATTTTCACAGTGTTCTCTTAGCTGTAGTCTTAGTAACCTTTTCCAGTGAAACTCTGAATATGATAGCCCACCCTTGTTACAATTTTTAACAATGACATGATTTCATTATTAAAAGTGCCAGTGGAGTAATTGTTATTACAAATCACTTCTGAAAGAGAAGAATATGCAAAAGTGCTCAATAAACTCTCCTGGCATACTGTAGGTCAGCGATTTAGGGCTTGAGACCACTAAATTGACCTGTATGAAATAATGGGCAAACCTGCTGAAATAGTCACAAAAAAGTAGATGAGAATGAAATGTATCCATTTGACAATCCATAGGATGACACATTATAGTTGCGGGTCCCCATTCTGAAGTGTATGAAGATTTGTAGTGTTATAATACATGATTTATATAGCACCAATAGTTTGCACTGTGCTTTACAAAAGAGTAGATGAGAATTAAATTTATCCATTTGACAATCCATAGGATGACACATTATAGTTGCGGGTCCCGATTCTGAAGTGTATGGAGATCTGTAGTGTTATAATACATGATTTATATAGTGCCTACAGTTTGCACTGTGCTTTACAAAAGAGACAGTACAGTTACAATCAAATCTAATACAGAAGAGATAGGAGGACCCTGCTCGTGGGAGCTCACAATCCTGAAAAGACAGCCCAACCCAGAGCTAGAATGAAATACTGATCAGAAAGGGGCACTGTAGATATCCTCACTAAGAAGGAAATAATAGTAAATGTTAAACCTAGGGGTTAAATAACTCATTTTGGGAAGGTCTTTGCCCTCCCAAGGACTCTGCCCTAACCACAAAAATAACACACATAGTTACTCAAGTTGAAAAAAAAAACACAAGTCCATTGAGTTCAACCTATAGAGATAAGAGAAGGAGGAAAAAAAGAAAGAAAAAACCTAAAGCAGAAAGCTATGCCCACAATTACCCACTGTTGATCCAGAGGAAGGCAAAAAAAACACTATTAAGCAAAGTTCAATTTGCCCCAATAGGGGAAACAATTCCTTCCTGATCCCATAAGGCAATCAGATATTCTGTGGATCAACAATCTCTGGCGCTTAATATACCTATAAGAACTCAATATCCAGTAATATTCTGTGCACTTCCAGTAATATTTTGGATATACACAGTAATATTCCAGTTATCAAATCCATTCCAGAGGTTCAGCCACAAGCCAAGTCCTATCTTGCCTCATTTGCATAAAGCCAGCCATTCTCTCTGCCCATTGGAGTACTTCCAGTGCCTCAACCAACATATCCATAGCACAAAAATTTAAAGTTTGCTGTACTGTAAAAACAAAACCGAATTCAATTAAACGCTGTAAACCCAGTCTAATTAGTGATAATCTAGGGGCCGTAAAAAAATGTATTGCTGGTGTGGGTGTGCCCGGACAGTGCTGACGTGCTCAATTGAGCCACATTGCACCGTTTCCTTTTTTTGTTAAAACTTTATTGAAATGTCACAAGTGACATTTCAATAAGTTATCTGGGCGCACCATGGTGCGATGCAGTAGTCTCACTGTGGTGTGCTTAAAATAAGTACTGTATGTCCTAATGAATTTTTTTTTTTTTAAGCACACACCACTGAAACACATTGGTGTGAACTATGCCCACCCTTGACAAGGCCTGAATGTAAGCTGTCCTACATTCAGGTTGCGCTAAAAAAAATGTCCAGCACAACCCGAAGGCTTATGGTGTGAACGGTCCCTATAACGATACGGCTGAACCATTCTAGTAGTTTACAGAGACACTCTCAACATCTTAAATAGTGAAGGGATATTTTATAATAAATATACAAAAGAAGCATTTACTGCTGCTCCCTTTTTTACAGTTCACTCCCCTCCTTGCTGAGAGATTTACTCCACTATGTAGGGCAGCCTGCTGGGTGTTTTGGAGGCCCCTTCAGCCTGTCTTCCTTCAGCTGAATAACCTGCCACCCTGACATCCCCACTGCTCTCTGTTGCTGCTGGTGTAGCTTTCTATCTGCAATGAGTAGTGCTCAGGGGCACTCCAGGACATGATATGCATTGGTGAGTATCCTGATAGCTATTTTCATTTAATGTGGTTGATTTTCAAACTTCCATTATCCAATCATGTGCAACTTTAATGTTCCTTACTTGTGATTGGGTATTCTTTGCAAAGTGAATTTTCACCCCATTCCCTAACCCAAGAGAAAATTATCTTGCAAAGTGAACAGCCTATTTATTGTTACCAGAGCCTCACCTAGTAGTATGGAGGAAAAAAACTGTCAGCTTGAAGTCTGAAGCTGACAGCTTTTTCTCCATTCAAATCGGCTTGTAACAGGTTACACAGCAGGGAAAGCGCCATTGGTCCAAGCTGTCCAATCAAAAAAAGGAAAAAAAAACCACTGAGGCCATCGATCTCGATGCCTCAGCAGTGACGAGCAAGTGAGGGATAGGGTGGCTCCTCCCTGTCTCCTCCCTTCGTCGGGATGGGGCTTCTGTGGGATATGGGTGGAGCTTTGACATGCTGGGACAGGACTGGGTGTGCTGGGGGTGGGGCTAGGGCTCACCAAGAAGCGAAGGTACCGCACCTCACTGCTGCATACATTGTACTGGCATGCTCCTGAGCACAGACCCAACAGAGAGGAGATGTGACATCAGCCTAATGGAGACATAGATAGCAACAAAAGCACATTTATTATCATTTTGTAACAACACACTCTCTAATTTCTCCCACATGAGGACACAGACAGCAACATTAACTTGACAATAACTTGACAGAAGTTTTGATTTTTACACGAATGAGCACAAAAAGGCAACATTTTGACTAGATTTAAGAGTAGGAATAATCATTTTTAAATCCCCAATTTGACTGGTTCTTTTCAATAGCACAGTGCAAACATCAGTAGTTTATTAAGAGAGAGCAGCCAATCAGGAATGAGGAATGAGTAGCTTAAATATGATATCTGATTGGCTGCTATGGATTACTGCCTGCATTTGTTTATTGTATAAGTGTAACTAAATAAATGTACTTCTTAAGTACAACTAGGACTAGGCTGGGCTGCTCACAGAACAACTTTTATTATACATTGTAGAACTCTTGTCAATGTGCCACATGTGATTTGATACAAAGAATATGATTTCTTGCTGAGAACATTTAATTCCTTTTTTTTTTTCTTATTCTAGGATGTGAGTTATATGCTTTCTGTGGCGCCCTGTTTGGGATCACATCAATGATTACACTGATGGTGATTGCTGTGGATAGGTATTTCGTAATCACCCGACCGCTTGCCTCCATTGGAGTGATGTCCAAGAAGAGGGCAGTGTTAATCCTTTTAGGTGTTTGGCTGTACGCTTTGGCCTGGAGCCTTCCTCCCTTCTTTGGTTGGAGTAAGTCTGGATGACTGCTTTGAACAGATAATATGAATTAGGACTCACAGCGCTTTCTTAAGAGTAAAACATAACTTGCCTGTCATATAAGATTATTGGCTTGTCATTTATTTTAAGAAAGTGCAAAAACTAAGTGTCTTTAAAAGAACATTCCTTCATAAAAGTAATTGTATTTGTTTTAAATTTTACCTAGTTGAAACAGAAGAGAGGATAAAACCAAGAACATGACAAAAAATAAAAAAAAAATAATTACACAGCCTTAGAGTGACAATTCAGTGCAATTAATTTCACAATTAATTAATTAATTAGAAGTGTGCATCTGTGCAACAGTTCACTGTATCTGCAGAGAGTGGGGATAAGTGTTACCATATAATTCAAAGCATGTCATTTAAAATGTAGTCTAGGTTATTTTGAATATTTAACGTCATAATTACCTACCTAGTAAAAACTGAAATAAAGGAACCCGGATGAAAAGTGAAGTTGTTTCCCATTGTGATTCAACAGACAACAACTGTGGTTTTTCCTGATCTTCTTGTCTGTGATTTTATAACTAGGTTTAAATTTGGGTTTTGGTGCTGTATTTATCAGTGGGGACATATTTGAGGTTTGTTTCTTTGTTATTTTTTGCAGATTTTTTTTTTTTTTAAATTAACTTTTAAATTTGTACATGCCTGCCCTTCAATATTTTGTATTAAATGTAAAGATTTGGAGTTAACCACTATGACAAAGTAGATTAACTACTACAATGAAACTACTAAAGAAATGTTCAGATAAGATATAAGTCACACAGGGAACGCTTTGTTTTATTGAGTTGGTGGACTCTTAAAGATCATTCCCCTTGTTATGGCTACTTACCAGTGACGTGCAGTCAGTTCCATGCTGGGTGAGGCATGCTCTCTGCTTGCCCCATCCCCGCCCCCAGTCTGCCAACAACCTAGCACCAAGCTATGTGTGGAGGAGGGAGAAGGGAGGTGCCTCCCTGTCCCTCACTTGCTCACCACTGGTGAGGCATCGAGATCAATGTCCTCAGTGGGGTTTTTTTCGTTTATTTATTGGACAGCTTGGACCAATGGCGCCTTGCCATTGGTCCAAACCATCCACAGAGCTCAAGTGTCAGGGTACATCAGTCAGCAGCCATAGTACAGCTTCTGCGCATGGGCGTATTAGGCGCCACTGTGCTAGTAATGCCAATGCGCGAAAACGATGCTTATGTGCATGCGCAGCAACGGGCACATGCAAGTAGCGTGCACACACCTGTCTTTGGCGCCAGGCGGGCTATTTAAAGATGGCTCCTGCATCTGCAACTTGCTGAGGGATCTTCAGCAGTACTCTGCATCTGTGATTCCGCTCCTGATATCCTTTTGACCCAGCTGAATTCCTGACTCTGCCTGCTTGCTGCCTGCCTTGTGACCTCGGCTCGTCCCTGACCATTCTTCTGCTTCCTGATCTGGAACCATCCTGCTCGCAAATTTATGACCCAGCCTGCTCCTGACTTCGCTTCTGTCTCCTGCTTATGTACCACGCTGACCGCATGTTAACGATCTGGCTTGTTCCTGACTACTCTTCAGCTCCTCACATAAGTGTCGTTTGATCTGCCATCGACCACCAGCTGCCTCTGACATCCTGTTGTCAGCATCAGCCTAACCAGTGTGTCAAGCAGTCATACCAGCCACAGGCACTCGTGCCCCTCTCTGTCTGTACAACTACTGTTCCATCTCCAGTGGGGCTCAGACGAGAGCTGCAAGGAAGACCTTCCTCGTCAGCTCAGGCTCACACCAAGGTACGTGACATCAAGCCTCTAACACAATGTAGAGGTTGTTGCAGCTCTGGCCTCACTACATTAGGTTACACAAGCAGTGGGGAAGCCACAGGCCGCTCTCCGTCCATGACAGGTTATACAGTGGTGAGGCCTTCCCTGCTGTGTAACCTGTTACAAGCCAGTCTGAATGGAGAAAAAGCTGTCAGCTTGAGTCTTTTAGCTGACAGTTTTTTCCTCCATAATATTGACCGCACGTCCCTGCTACTTACCTACTACACTCATGCATTGGTGCAGGGGCGTAACTAGAAATCACAGGGCCCCATAGCAAAATTTTGTATGGGGCCCGTGATTTCTAGTTATAATGGTGCCTCCTTATTCTTCCAATGCCACAGAAGAGAGCACCTTTTTTAGTGTGTTATGATTCGATAGGCAGCCCATTCAAATGAATACACCATTGTGTAGTACCGCAAAGCAGGAGTCTACATACTGTATATCTAAGGAGGTATTTTAGAAAATTTGGTTTATCTCCCATGACCCTGTCGCTGTTTAAAAAAAAAAAAAAAGAAGGAAGTTAGTGACATTAAACCTTCAGATTTTTTAACATAAAACAATACTGTAATGTGTGCCTTACTGTAATCCATGGTAGTTTCCCTTCTCTTTCCTGCTCTTACTTTTAAATCCGTATCTGTTCTCATGCTGGGCAGAACTTCTGTTTTGCAGCAGACTGCCTTGTCTCTGAAATGGATACATGGTGTCTGTGTGTAGGTTCACAACCTGAGCCAGCACTACAGGAAGAGGCAGTCAGCTGCAAAGGGAAGTTCACCCCGAGCATGAGAAGAGATATGGATTTAAAAGGAAGAGCAGCAAAGAGAAGGGAAACAACCATGGATTACAGTAAGGCACACATTACAGTATTGGCTTATGTTAAAAATTTGAGGGTTTAATGTCACTTTAAAGATTTGATTTGTGTTACTCATATGATGCTCGGTCTTGCAGTGGTCAGGGCTCACCTCTCTCCCGGCTATGTAATGTCCCTCGGCACCCTCACCTCTGTCAATGGACCTGCATAACATGTGATAACCTCAGTGTTCATTAGACCACTGTAGGAAGAAGAGCCTCGGGGGATCACTCTAGCAGCCCTGAGGGAACCAGCGGGATGGGGGATCAGGTGAGTAATACAGCTTTATTTGAGCCCCCTAGACAAAATGAGCACTTAACCCTTGCCGTGCCAGGGTACCCCACTGCAAGGATACATTTTTTTGGTTGACCAGAGTTCTTCTTTAAGCTACGCAAAGCAGGCATTTATTAAGTACCTGCCCCACAGCCCACAACGCAGTGGGGCAGGTAGAAGATCCACGGTTTAATCTAATGGTTTTAGGACAGCTATTCAATACTGAAAATTATATTATATGATGTTTCTAGCAATTATTTGAAGTGTCATAGGCTGATGTTATAGACCCATTTCCTCAAAGTCCCTGTTTTCCCTTGGAGTGGAGCCTAAGGGATAGATGGTGTTCTAACCTTATTAGAGGTTTAAGTTAGCTGCAAGGTACCCCCAGGTCACTCATCTGGTATTCATGGATGTGGAGGAGGGTGGGTGCAAGTGAGCTAGAATATGAGAGAAGCATAGGACATGGTGCAGCTGGAATCCAAGGTAATTCTGGAGTGAAGAGTGCAGGAATGACCCAGCAAAGACTCAGATAGTAGTTTTCAGTGGAGACTACCCAAGGCAAAGGCAACAGAACTATCAGGGGTGCAAGGATGCAGCCAAGTCTTTGTTAAATTCTGGTAGCAGTGGTGCAATGTTAGCAAGAGGTACTGGTAACCTGGTTGTACTAATAGAAAGGCTGCAGTGGTAGCAAGGTTGCACTGGTAGCAAAGTTTGCTGGTAGCAAGATAGTACTAATAGCAAGGCTGCACTGTTAGCAAGGTTGTACTGATAACAAGAATGCATAGCTAGAAAAGTTTGCACTGTTAACATGATTTGCACTGGTACAGGGAGCTGGAGTAGCATTCAAACTGATGCTCGAGCGGCAACAGTATGCTCCACTCAAGTTTAAATATATTTTCCTGTTATGTGATGGATCACATGACGCGGCCATGACACTGAGTGAAACACAGAAGTGTCCATGGCAGCGGAAGAATGAAAAGGCGCCGATGCTGGAGCGTAGTAGGTAAGTAACCATAACAAAATGGGAATGATCTTCTAGATCTAGGATCACTCTTAGAAATCAGACAGTTTGAAGATTTGTTGTTTGTACATTTTGTACCAGTATGAATGCACTTTTGATCACTACCAGAAAAACAAGCTTGAATTAGCTCTTTTTTTCCCTTTTGCGCAGGGAACATTAACTTTCACTAACTCATGCCATTATTTCCACACTACATTATAGTACATTGTGCATTTGGTCTAGTGAAAGGGGACTTACAGTACATTAAACTGTTCCGAATACACACTGGGAAACCTGCAGATAATATTTTACCCATGGCTTTCCAGAACAAATTTGTAAAATGGTTCTTAAGAAAATAAAACATTAAATAGAAAAAAACTAAAATCAGTGGAAAAAGCAACTGGCTAATGCAGTGAAAAGAGAACAATACATTAAAAGAAAACCTCAACCACCTCACAATTAGCCATCATATTTAAACAGCTGATCGAGGCAGCTGTAACTGTAAGGGGTTGTGTGCGCGCACACATATCACAGACAACATCCCAAGTGGCAATTAAAGTGCCTGTGCCTTGTGATTGCTGTGAACTAATCACAGAGATCACACGTGTAAACACTGGCTGTGTTTACATAAAACCAGCCCTCCCATTCTTCTGCCATGTCTCTCCTGGACAGATGATTCTACTCTCAAGGGTATGTATTTGTGTCGGTAAACTTTATTAGGTAAACAGATTAGGTGATATAAGATGATGACGCAGAATAATGGATATTGGTACAGGACAGAATTTGGAACAGGATCAGGTGGCACAGTTGGATGCATGTTTGGAGTTGGATCAGGAGAAGCAGATAGAGACAGGTCTGAAGCTGCCTCTGTTAGCACAGTTGGCACAGGTGGAAGTAAACTTGGAGCTAAACAGGTGGAATAAATGGTGCTAGCAGATCTCAGGCTCATTTAAGCTAGTGTAGCCCTTACTACCTTTTGTGGAGTGGCTACTAGAAATTTAGTGTTGCCAGAGCTATAGTGCTAGGATCTGAACCCAGGGCTCTTGCTGTGTCTGGCGGTGGCGCTACCTGAAGAGCCACCTTGAAAACTTGGAGAGTTCATTGCCTGCTCTCATGTGTAATCCTCAGTTAAACCTAGTTTCTGCTGAACTTTGAACTCCTTGCTCCTCCCTAGAACCTCCTATTTAAGACACGCCTCTGCACTTCCTGTTTGCCAGAATATTGTGCTCCTCTCAATATCTTGCTTCCTGCACCTACGGTGATACAATCCTCTCATACTGCTACCTGTGTACCGACTTTTGACTGCAGATTTAACAACTTCTTTCATCGTCTTCTGCTTCATACCCGATACCTTTGGCTACTGACCTTGGCTTGTTCTCCGACTACGTTTCTCCCTGCTCCTATACTACTACTACTGTCTGCTTGTGTACTGAACCCGGCCTGTTATACCACAAATTTGCCTTATGTTTCAGTAGTTGGCATTTATCTGGTTAATTTCAGTTCTGAAATTGATTGTACCTGCCTGAGTGGGGTGTGACCCTGCTGCAGTGTGGGATAGCCAATTGGGAAACATTATGAATGTGTGTGGCTTACCAGCCAATCATTGGGGGATTTATGGCCAATGGTGAATGCAGTACTGCATATATACTCATGGGATTGTCATGTGCTTAGTTTAGTTCCAGCCTGCCCCTGGGCTTGGCCTGGGAGTGGGAATGCTCAAGTGCAGGAAATGTTGCCTAGGCCTCAAGCAAGGAGGAGGCTTTACATGTGGACCCTGGAGGGGTCTGATGCTGATTGAGTAAGATAACCAGAGAAGCTGGATGGCTCCTATTGATTCTGCACTGTATAAAGGGAACTGACGAGTCTGCAGTCTGTTTTTAACTATTTTTGTGATGGATGTCCTAAGCCCTATATACTCTCTCCCAGTTATGAGTTCTACAATAAAGTATTTAAAAACGTACTTAAGGTGACTCGCAGGGAACCTTTCTTTGATTGCACATCCTTTCACTGGCCTAGGATCTGCTCCTGAGAAGGAAAAGTCAGCCCTCTCTGCCCTATGGGGGTTTATGCTATGCCTCTGAGGATTAGGGGGGCGCCTACATTTGCATGTAGATACAAGTGCAAGTATGACCCCCCCCTTCCGCCGTACAATAAACACCTTGTCTGTACATATCACCCCTATATGATACACCCCCTCCCCTATAAAATACATTTTAGTCTAAATTCATAAAAGAAGATTTATAAAGACTTTTTTATATGTTTTATAACAGAAAGTTACGGAAACAAGTTTCTCTTTAAAAAATGTTGGTCTTTTTTCCTTTAGATAGGAAAACAAAATGGTTACTAAATACCACCAAAAGAAAGCTCTATTTGTCTACAAAAGAATGATATAAATTTAATTTGGGTACAGTGTTGCTTGAATTAGTAATCGTCAGTCAAACTATCACAGAAATAAAAAATGGCCTGTTAATGAAAGGCTGTAACATGCTGGTAATGAGGTGGTTAAAAAAAGGCAAAAAAAAACAAAACAAAATCCTCAGTAAATGGAATCTGTTTTTGCATGTTCTCATTCTTTGTATTGCCATCTAGAAGACTTTGCACGTCATACTTGAATCACTTGATGGTCATTGTGAATTACTGTACCAAGGTCATTTGGCGATCATCATTCATAAGCTTGTGCAGTGTTCTGTTGGGGCTAACCCTTTACCTGCCAAGCATTAAATGGCTAGGAAGCGGTTTTAAAATAAAAAATAGGAGCCTCAGTAGAAACTAATTCCATATCTAAATATTACATTATAAATACCAACTATTGTGCTCTAAATTTTTATTAACCCATCTATACTTATGACCCGTTATTATGAAAGTGAGGGCTGCAGGCTGTTATTTTCCTTTTTCTTATTGGGAAACAGAGTATCCTTATGTTGCTATTGATTTACATTTATTTGAATATTTATTTGAATATTGAGTCCTTACAATGTTTCCAAAAATGCTTTGCTCCACAATCTAACATGAAAGTGTATATAAACCCAAAGCATGTAATGGCTTACGAGAGCTTAGAATTAGATTCCTTTTTGAAGGCTTTCTTTGTCCATTTTATCCTGCCAGAAACACACTTTCTGTCCTAGGATGACAACCCTCACTCACTGCATTGTACCTATGGAGGAGCAGTGTTGTCACACTTAAACAAGTGTGTTAAAGCATAACTCCAGGCAATAATAAATAAAATCTTAACCTTTGAAGTGGGGCTACCCTCACACTGCAAGGGTTAAGTGCTCGTTTTGTATAGGGAGCTAAAATAACAAAAATATACTCACCAGAACCACAATCTTGCTCTTAGACTGCTCCCTCCAGCCTGTCTCTTCCTCCGCTCCAGCAGGGGAATGTCCCTCAGTGTCTTCACGTTCTATACACTGTATAGAACATGATGACTCAAGGCAGCAGGTAATGTTCTAAGAGCAAGTGGGGATTGTGATACAGAGTGCATAGTACACAACTTGGTTTCCTGTTCCGATCAACAGGTATTTTTTTTTGTTTACGCTTATCCAAAATGGTTTTAGTGGTATATTTAACAGACCAAAATGGAGAAAATAAGAGAAGTCCATTGTTAGGGCTCACATATACAGTACTTTAAATACATTTTTGTTTTCTAATGTTTACCAGAATGTTCTCTTTTTTGATTGTGCTTGGTTGTAATCTTGGTTAGTTTCTATATAATGTTACTTTTCTCTTCTCTAGGTGCTTATGTGCCTGAAGGCCTCCTAACATCATGCACATGGGACTATATGACCTTTACACCCTCTGTTAGAGCCTACACCATGCTCCTCTTCTGCTTCGTCTTCTTCATCCCTCTTTTTGTTATAATCTATTGCTATATCTATATTTTTAAGGCCATCAAGAACACTAACAGGTGATTGCCTTTACTATATCATTAGGTCGCTATAATATCAACAATTGATTTCCATATTGTGCATATACAAGGAGTGAGACAAAACTATTATATAGAGCTAAATAATTATAAGGACCTTCAAACCAATGAAATGTGAACTTCTTTCTGCTCGATTCTCCTGTCCCCCAGCAGGGAACCTGCTGTGCTCTGTGAACTAGAAGATACATGTTTAATACTCAATACAAGGTTGAATTTTTTCCAGCATCCTATGCTTCAGTACATGTACAGCTGTGCGTAACTGATGTAAAGCACATAGCTTACATACATCGATCTCTAAAGCAGGTGTTAATATACCTAGACATTTTGACTTTTGAAGCCTTCTTAAATACTCATTTTTTAGCTGCATCCAACAAAAACACAGTGTCTGAGTACTGACAACGGCATTCACCATCAAGAATAATTATCTCAATGGTAAAATATGGGTGCAATAAACATTAGTTGTGCAAAATGCTTTATATGGAATCACCAAATTCCTTAAAGGAGAACTATGGGGTCAGTGTTTTTCCCCATAGGTCTCCTTAGGGTAACGGGAGGACACAAGCTAGCGTCCTCCCGTTACCCTAAGCTCAATATACCGCGAGCTGTAGCTCGCGGTATACTGAGACGCCGGAGTGGATCCCGACGTCGAGATCCGCTCAGCTGCGGTAGTGACAGCTGGCTCTGCCTATCTAAAGGCAGAGCCAGCTGTACCTGCCCCGTCCGTTCTGCCAGTCAGTGCTGGCAGATCGGAGCGGGGAGAGGGGAATCCAGCCCCTCCCCCTGTCACGGCAGAGAGCCGTGACAGGATCGAGAGGTGAGCGAACCCGGTATGTGTTCGCTCACCTCCCGATCTACTGAGCCGACCTGTGACAGTCTCATTGTCACAGGTCGGCTAGAACTATGAGGTTTTTATTCATATTGCACTTATCTGGCAAATTTGCAGACTCTTTTGCTATTCCCCCATCTTTGTAGTGTTAATGAATATATCCTATAGAATTCTATAGGTCCTTAAAGTGACACTAAGGGGTTGATTTACTAACCTTTTAAACACACCAAGAACGTGTATACACCTCTGTAGTGTGTTCCCTCCCAGCATGATCTATGGGAGGAATCGAAACACCTTTGTAGTGTGTACACACCCAGCAGGTGTGTTGTGCAAAGCCCTGCAATGAATTGCAAGGTAATGTGGTGTAAATTAGCTCTATGTTATGTTGCTTGCGTTGATGAATGCAGGAATGTAAATGCATGAGCTAACCATTTTTGTCTAAACTGTGAAGCAGCATTATATATGCATCATGTGCATGATTTTTCCATATATGGCATTAGTGGAAATATGCTTTTAGAGACTTTTTGGTTGATAAATACGTTTTGCTGTGTGAAAATCACACACACCTGGTGTGTGTGTGTGTTTAGGTTAGTAAATCACCCCCTAAAAATCAGAAGTTAAATCTTAAAAATGCATTCAAGTACTTCAACTATTTAACAAATGTGTGTCTTATTTGTGTATCACTCAGCTGTAGATCCTCAAATCATCTCTGAATTAGTGCTTCCAATGTCCTTCCTTCTGGAGGGTGGCTACTTATGTTCCTTATGGTCCTGTGTGTGTTGTAAAGTAGCCACCGCTTCAAGTTTGCTCCCGTGATGGACTACAATCTCAATACAAATTAGTAAATTTAACATGAGACTGTAGTTTATCATGGGAGTAAGCTTGGAGGGTGGCTACTTTACAACACACATAGGGACCATGGGGAACAAAAGTAGCCACCCTCCAGTAGGAAGGACAGTGTCAACACCAATTCAGAGATGATTTGAGGATCTACAGGTGAGTGATAACCAAATAAGATAAAACATTTTTTTAATAGTTAAGGTACTTAAATGCATTTTTAAGATTTAACTTCTGATTTTAGTGTCACTTTAAGGGCCTATAGAATTCTATAGGATATATTCATTAACACTACAAAGATGGGGGAATAGCAAAAGAGTCTGGAAATTTGCCAGATAAGTGCAATATAGGAGTTCAGATGTGACTGTATATGCAGGTGGCAAAATGTTGCTTGATGCATGCTCACAATATGTGCACTGCAACCCTGAGACACCAAGGCCAAAAATATACATACAATGGAAAAAGACAGAGAGAGGAATTTATCAAAACTAGAGAAGATAGAATCTGGAGCAGTTGCCCATGGCAACCAATCAGCTTCTCTCTTCAATTTGTTGAGTTAAGATTGAAACAGAGAAGCTGATTGGTTGCCATACACAGCTGCTCCAGATTTTGTCTGCTCCGGTTTTGATAAATTCCCCTCAGACTATATATAAAATGCACTGGATGAAAATGGAGAGACATAAAGTGTATCATTGACTACGATAGCAAAGACCTCCTAATATATGGTATATTCTGTACCCACTGGTCTGAAACCTCTTCCAGAACCTTCTAGCCCTGCCCCAGTCTTCTGAATTTTTGAGGGCTATTGCACAGATTTCTACAAGTTCTACAACAAAGAGAAATATAAAAGGCACAAAACCCAACCTGTGCTAGGGCTGCCTGTTGTCAACCCCAAAAATGCTAAGGTGTGAAGACCTAGGACTATAGCTAGATATACACTGACTGTTTTGTCTAGTTCAGCCCCGCTAACAGCATGGATTATTGTATTCTGCAGTGGGCGTGCACCTTGCAGAATACCCAAACAGTGAGTGCAACTCAATATTTTGCAGACCGATTTACCTCTGGGAGTAGTTACGCAAGCAGTTGGAACTTGTTGGGATCAATGGACCATTGTGCAGTCATACAAGACTGATCAATACTACATGCTACTTGTGTAGCTTACTCCATAGGGACCCATTTGTTCTATCTGTTTAGCAATCCTTTGCTACTTCTAAAGATGAATCATCAGCCATTTCAATAGCACAGCTGGACTAACAGAGATCTCGATTTTTAGCTCTAACTTGACTAGACGACTCCCACCAAGTGGTTAAATCTCTCAAAATTAAGACTGTGTAGCCTAGTCCTACTCTGTATTCCATTGGGGCAAAACTAAGATTCCTTGTAGTGTTTTAGTGGCTGTGATGGTGCAACATTTATTCATTCTGTATGCTCCACCTTGTGGTCACTCAAAGGGAGTGCATTGAATAGCCAGATCATTTGAGGTCAGAAAGTAACATCAGAAGCGCTTCTTCTTCTTCTTCTATTATCTGAGTGTACAAGTCCTAAATTACTATGATGGGTGCTTAATAAACTCCCTATAGGAGATAGGACAGTAACAGTCTGCAATGGTGAAAAAAAGCTTATGGTAGAAAACAAGTTAAAAGTCAACATTTCATTTTAAATGTGTAAAATAAAAGACATTTTACTGCTGTAACAATTAAGTCTGTCACAGGTAATGCCTTGCTCCTGTGTCTCCCAAACTAGCTATTGCTACAATGCAGAAATAGAAAATCAGTCAAATTGTAATCTACTGCAAAGACTTGTGTAGCTGACAATCACATTAGAACAGCAAGTGCCCAGAAGCAGACATTAAGATAATTTACTGTAATCTGTAGGGGGTCACAAAATACCAAGCTGTGTAAAGACAAAGAAATTCAGACACACTTTTGCCATTTTGCACAAGAACGGTGTCTCATACTTTCTGTTAAACCCTGCACTTGTCTATAACAGGGCTGTTCATAAAATCGGTTCTGATGACAACAAGGAATCTCACAAACAGTATCAGAAAATGAAGAATGAATGGAAGATGGCAAAGATTGCACTCATCGTCATCCTCCTTTATGTGATTTCATGGTCCCCCTATTCTATCGTTGCATTGGTGGCTTTCGCTGGGTAGAGTATATATAAACTATTCATAACTTTATTTTTTGGCATAACACAATTAATAGGAGTTATTGTTCCAATATTTGAAAGAATGTTTAATGGTGGAAATAAAGTATTTTTTTCCAAGGGTTCCTTAGTATTAAGCCAATAATACATACACAAATGCACATGTATGAATGAACTTGAAACGAGTTTGTATGTAATTATGTTTGTTAAGTTTGTCTACTGGTTACTATTGGATGTTTTTTTATTTTATTTCTACAAGCATTGTTATGTTAGGGGAATCCAGCAGAATTGCAGGACACAGGCTTTGCAAATAAAGTAATGTTTATTAACTTAAACAGCTTCACAGCAGCAAAATAACATAAATTCGTCTTCACTGACCATCTGGAAAACTTAAACAGCGATTCTTCAGTATAACAGAAAATAACAGTCTAACCGACTTGAAGACTTCAGAGCTGCAATTGCAGTTAAAAACAGTCTCAGGGGTCTATTCACAAAGCTGCCGAAGGATCTGGCCGTAGTTTCGGCCGATCCTTCGATGATCGGTCATTCACTCGACTCTATTCAGCTTTGTGAATAGACCCCTCAGACTTTCAGGGTAACTTCCCCAGTCCACAGGTTTCCAGCAAGGATATTTACATGCAGTTTAACAGCAGTACACAAATCCCTACCATATAAAAAAGGGAAAAGGCAACAGTCTCAATCATTATTATTTGGTTGCTTATTGACATCTATTTTTTTATAAAAAGGAATTTAATTGTTCCCTACCGGGGTGCAACTAATGCAAAAAAAAAGAAAAGAATTGGGCTTCCTGGCTTAAAGCAGCAGTTTTAACTCACCCCGTCACTCACAGCTGTTGCTTTTGGACCCTCTTTTTCCTTTCCATCGACACACACACTTCTATATTCCAACAGCCACTATCATCAATCAGGCACCTGTGACCAACCAAGCTAAGTCCCAGAACCTGAGGTGGAGTCCCTCAGCATAGGAACCATCACATCTTGGGTGCATTGTAAATAATGTCCAGGATCATAAGACCTTGGGCTATTTATCACTATATCATGACAAACACAGTCAGATGAAATAAAAGAAATAAAAAAGTAACATCATCGAAGTAATAGAAGAAAATAGCAAGAGAGGGTAAGGGCTTGTTCACACCATGCCCATTGAGTTGTGTTTTTTTGCACACCAACGCACATGTATAGTGTGAACAGGGCATATAGAAAACAATTTGGATGTGTCCTGTTCACATCATACATGTATGTTGGTGTGCAGAAAAAGGCAGCTCAATGGATATGGTGAGAGCAAGCCTTAATGAAGGTTTATGACTTGTAATGTATATTTAATGTCCTTGTTTTTCATATTCTTCTACAGGTATTCTAACATGTTAACACCATATATGAACTCTGTGCCTGCTGTGATTGCAAAGGCATCTGCCATTCACAATCCAATAATCTATGCTATTACTCATCCTAAATACAGGTAAGATTTGTGATGATTGTTAAAAATTACATACTTCGTGTACTAGAGGTGGTGGAGGCCTGTCAACTGTGTGAAGGTGTTGAACTAGAAAGATTATAGGAGAGACACACTTGGGGGGATTTAATAAAAAGTGTCTGAGACAGCTTCACATTTAAATGGTGTGGATGCTCATGGCAACCAATTAGCTTCTATAGTTAATTTTTTTTCACAGAGCTAAAAAATGGAAATTTAAAACCTGATTGGCTGAGACATCTAGAAATAGATGTCTAGTTGAGACAAAGTTAAAATGACATTAAAGTCAAAAACATTTTTCCCTCCCCCCATGTTAATGTTAGCACTTACCTTATATGATGTCTCTTATTCCGATCTTCTTCTTTCCCCATGTTTTCATCTGTCCCTCCAGCGGTGCGGCGGCTCTCCGATCCAGCGCTGACTGCTCTGTCCCTCTGATCCAGCGGTGTCTGCATGCGGGTGCACGCGTCCATAGACTTACCTTGTGTCTCTGCTCGTCTCCCGGCCGAGAATCCGAACTGCGCATGCGCCCGCCCCTAGAACCTTTGCGGCCACACGAGCAGTTCCTTATTCTCGGCGCGGGAGTGCTCAGCGATAACGAGGTAAACCGCTGTGAAAACGGGTTTAAAAAAAATACTTTTTGCCTATATCTACTGCTCGCCAGCAGTAGATATAGGCAAAAAAAACAGAGGCTTTAGAACCCCTTTAAGATAAAGTTGGCTTTAGACACTTTTTATTTATTCCCTCCTAGAGTGCCTAAAAAAGATAGACATATATACTGTACTCTCTAAGGGCCCATTCACACTTGTCTATTCCTGTGCATTAAGATGTGTAGTATCCTGCATAACTGTGAATTGTATAAAAGGCAGCAAATTCAGTTTGTGGGTTGCCAACGCACAGCACACTACAATAAACCATAGTGCATTATCATATTTTGTGGTGTGATGTAACGGATGTACATCAAAGCTGCATTGTCTTAGTGCATTGAGGTGCCATTCAAAGTGAATGGCACCACAAAGCTCTGATCCATGCAATGTCCATGTAGCGTGCATTAACGTGTGTTTTGCATATATTTTATTTATTATGTGTAAGAATAAAAAAGAAACCATATTTTTACTTCCTTTAATTCAGTTACATATGAAATACTGCATTTAAATATTTCATAGTGCTAAAACGCTTATCAGCTTTTTTTTTTGTCTTCTGTGTTTAACGGGAGATTTACCTTAACATCCTGTTTTGTAGCCACAACAGGAAGTTGCAGGAAATTTCTCAAAATTGAGGAAAACTCCCTTTTAGACAGTTGTCACCAGTACCAGATTCTCCCTGTGTGTTCCTGTTCTAGTGAGAATTCATAATTTTGGGTTTTCCCTTCCCATTTCCCTTCACCAAGACAGAGAGATTGGATCTCCCTAGCGGGACACATACAGCTTTTTAAAACTTGACAGAGGTGCCAGCCCTTTCTCATTATATATAAAAAACCTGTCATTAGACCAGACATCCCAACCTGCAAAAACTTATTTCAGGGAGGTGGCTTCACAGGCTACTGTCCTGACTCTAAAAGTGTCACACATATTAAACTCACCTCAACATGTCTTTTACAGTCATTTAACCCACAGTGGGCAATTGAGAAATCACTGCTGCAAACTGTCTTTTTTCACATCTTTCATACATGGGTGCATTTTGTACTTTTTTTTATTTGGACACTCTGCCATGGCACTGGCTGGGTACTTACACTATTTAAACCAAACTCAGTTTGTTTAATTGATCCTGTCTGAAGTCAACTGTAAAGCCCACCAAAGAGAGACAGTCTCACTCTCTCTTTGGCAGGCTTTACAGTTGTCTCTTATCAACCAATCAGGACGTGCGCTGTCACCCCCTCAGTTTTACTAATACTGAGATCCAGCACTGCGTTCTCAGTTTTGTCCATTGCTGGACACTGTATGACGGGGTTGGAACCCATTAGAGGAGAGGAGGAGTACCAAGCACAGCGCTGGCACCCAGAGGTAGTTTGCGTGCGTGCCGCCAGGTATCCTGTAAAGGTTTACTCTGCTAGACTTACAGTATATAGAGCAGAGTAAACCTTTATGCAGGCCCGTCTTTAATACTGATCGGACCCTGGGCAAACATTTTCTTTGGTCCCCCCCCCCCAGGAATTTATCTCACCTCCCCAACACCCAGAAAAAAAAAACAGCACACTGGTTTAACCAGGGCTCTGTGAGGGCTCACCAGGGCTCTGTGGGGACTGGTTAGACCACACAAAGCCTGGTAAAACCCCACAGAGCCCTGGTTAAGCAAGGGCTCTGTAGGGTCTCACTATGGCTCTGTAGGGTCTCGCCAGGGCTCTGTAGGGTCCCAACAGGGCTCTATGGGGTTTAACCAGGGCTGGTGAGACCCCACAGAGCCCTGGTGAGACCCCGCAGAGGCCTAGCTAAACCAGGGCTCTGTGGAGGCCTCACCAGGGTAGCAGGCCTGTGGGGGGTCTCACCAGGGCACTGTGGGGTCTAACCAGCCTTGTTAGACCCCACAGAGCCCTAGTGAGACCCCACAGGGCCCTGGTTAAACCAGCGCTCTCCTCAGGGCTCTCCAGGCCGCCACTCACCAGTACTGTGCTGGCCGTGTCTAGGGGGCGGGAGCTGGCAGGAGCATGCTGACATAGTCTCCATCTGCTGCTGAAGATAAACTCCAAACTCCCAGCCAGAGATCCTCGTGTGGTGGATGGGAGGGGTGAGGTCTCTTCTCATTGGCTGGTGGGCAGAGCTCCAGAAGACCGAGTGGATGGACCGTACAGACGATCGAGGAAACGTATGAGCGCTCAGCCCTGTCACTGTCAAACTGAGAGTCTCAGTTTGACAGCGGCAGGGCTGAGAGCTCACAACGTTACCTGACTGCGAGCGAGGTGATGTGCTGTTCCGACAGGGCAAACAAGGCGCCCCTATTATTCATAGGGGCGTCGGGCCCCTAGGAATAATAGGGGCCCGACGCTGAAGTGCTGTCCTCTGCAAAGGCTCCCCACCTCAGCGTCGAGCCCCTATTATTCAGCCTTGGGCACCAGCTGCTTGCTGCTACTGTGCTGGTGCAGAATCAGCACAGTAGCAGCAAGCAGGTGGTGCCAAAGGCTGAATAGGGGTCCGACGCTGGGGTGAGGGCGAGGGAAGCCTTTGCAGAGAACAGCTGCTGTCCTCTGCAAAGGCTTGCCCTACCCTCACCCCAGGGTCGGGCCCCTATTCAGTCTTGGACACCAGGCCAGCTGCTTGCTTTTACTGTGGTGATCTCTGCAGAAAGCCCCCCCCCCCCCCAGTCGGCCATATAAACTAAGCTGCTGTGCTGTCCCCCCAAGCCCCAGGCCAGACACCAAGCCTCAATTGCTGCTATCCCCCCAGCCAGACTCACTCAGCTGCTGCTGCTGTTGTTCCCTTCCCCCCCCCAGCTCCAGATCATTGCTGGCTTACCTTATCAGTGCAGTGACTTGACTACACACAGGCTCTTCCGCTCAGCCTCCAGCTGTGAGAGCTCCGTGGCTGCCCCTGAGGAAAAAAAACCCTTCCTGCATGTGGGCAGGAAGGTACCAAAACATCACATTGGATGGGGGGATTGGGACGTACCAACTGTTCGGTACGACTCGTACGGAACAGTTGTTACGTCCCAACCCCCACATCTAATGTGATGTTTTGGTACCTTCCTGCCCACGTGCAGGAAGGGTTTTTTTTCCTGTGCTGATTCTACGGTACGACCAAGGCGGTACGGACACCTTGCCGATCCCTGCAAGTTTCTGCGGGCAGCGGGCTCAAGGGGCAGCTGCTTTGGGCCCCACAGCCATGAATGGGCCCGGGGCAAGCGCCCTCTTTGCCCCGCGTTAAAGACGGCCCTGTCTTTATGGGATACAATGTTTCACTTGTGGGCATCCGGGAGCAGCTATCTTATAGTGGGAGACTCCCAAAACATCCAGGAAAGTTGAGATCTCTGCATTAGACACATTTTAGGCTCTGCCCATAACATTGGTTTTGCAAGTGGCCTATTGCATACACATTTTAGCTACCTGTGTGAAAATCTGCAAAACATTATCTTTTGTTGGGGCTTAAAGAGATTTAGGGAGCACCATTTTAAGAGAGGGTGAGTTCTCTGATAGCACAGCGATGGTACCTACAAGAGCCGTAATTTTATCACATTTTATATCTAAACCCAACATTTTCTGCCTACAACCCTAAAGCTGTTAGCTACAGATAATAAAAATAGATACCAAATCTTGTTGTGAGTTGACATAGAACTACATGTTGTCTCCATTTTTGGGCAATGTGGCTTGTTTACACCCAAGTGATGCCCAGCAGGCATCAAACCTTATTGTCTGCCCGTTGCTCTGAAAGATCTCTCTTGGCATTGAACCCAGAATAAAGACAAGCAAAACAGTGATGAAACATTTAGCCTCATGCTCTTATAATTTCAATCTATTTTTTACCTTGTTAGGATAAAACTTCTTATCTGATGATCTAAAAATAATAAGCTTTTTTAAAATAATAACACAAAGAACAAGAAATTAAAACTTGTAAAGAGATCAGCAGTAATAAGCAGACACAAGCATTAAAATACCGTGTCCCCAGCAGACCTTCAAGAAGGGAGAGGACAATGTATTACAAAAGAATCTGAAATGGGGCCATAAATAAACACAATGCAGACAATATGGAGCATGCCTGCTAAATGATTTAGTAGCTTATCTGGAAATGTATGCAGTTTATTCGGAAAATGTGTGGAAATGTTGCACCTCACATACAAGATTTATATCAAACTATGGAAATAATTTAAAATAAAGTTGTCAAAGTGTAGTGAAATGAGCTGAAAATATTCACACAATTGCACTCGCAAGTGGACATCTATACCACACACAATTACACACACAAAAACCACCACTTGGTTCAAAATTGTATAGTAGTTGTGGACTCTCTGCATAGCCAAGTGAATGTAGGCCCTAAAGAGCATCATGGCACAGAAGCTAAAGAACTGCCTGGTGTCCACCAGTGTAAAGCCGGGTATTCACACATATACTGGATTTTCTTCATTCAACCTGCAGACTGAACGAAGAAAATAACAGATTCCTCCATCCACACTGAACAGAGTGAATAGATGAATCTCCCACTCTGAGCATTGTATTCTGACAGCAGCCAACGTTAAAAGCAGGAGATTCGTCCACGATGGACAGCGTGGATGGAGGAATCAGTTATACTTTCTGACTGGCTGCAAGCACTATTCGGGCAAAGATTTTCCAGCATGTTCCTTCAGGAAAAGTCTAATGATTCTGCTGATTCTTGCGTACCCTACTTAACCCTCAGGGAGAAATTGGCTTTGCTGCAGACGGCTTCCATGTTGGGGCCCTCAAATACACCTTGACTGGCAACACTTGACAGAAATAAGACAGGGCACAGATTCATGTGGTAAGACTGAAGTCAAGCAAGAGGTCAGGACAGCTGCAAACAGTGATCTGGAAAAAAGCAGGCATAGGACATAAAGGTGTATCGGACACTGGAACATAGTTCACAGGCCTGGGATCCTGGTAACAGAATCTTAAAGAGGTCTTTGCTCAAGCAATTCCCCATCACACTAAGCACCACTCCATCTTATTGAAGGATAAAAGACAGTCGTGTCCATCTGGTTGCCAGAGCATGCCATTACATAACTGTTGCACATGGACCACTAATAGAATTATGTTTTTTAATGTAAAGAAACAATAATACAAGTTGTCCTAGGATCTAGCTCAAATTCTCCTTTGGGTGGAATGATGGATTGATTGAAGTTGATCAAATATTTTTTTTATGAAATCACATGCACATTTTTAATATGCAATTCTTACTCTTACCTGAACCCCCCTCTTCTTGAGGTGCAGAGAAAAGATCGGTTTAGTTTTGGATGTTCTTATCTGTCAAAGGTTTACAGGGTAACACTAGAAAGACAAAAAATTTAATTATAAATGAATGCATTTCCACAATTTGAGAGAACAGATAACCATTGTTTGAAGGAGAAAAGTATTGTCCAATTAAAACACACCACAATGCACATTTAGCTTAAAGAATATTTTCAGCCATGACTTGTTTTTAGTAATTTTGCAGACTGACTAATAAAGCCCAGTTCTTATATTACAGGATGGCAATTGCAAAGTATATTCCTTGTTTGAGACCAATCCTCCGAGTGGCTCGCAAAGATTCCAGAACCTTTACTAGCTATCCATCTTCCCGGCGCTCCACTGTTACCAGCCATTGCAGTCAATCTTCTGACATAAGTGGACTCCCCAAACTGAAAGGACATCTTACTTCTGTCTCAGATAGTGAATCAGTAAGCATGGTTTTATGTCATGGGATTTTCAATTAGCTTCTCTAGTGAGCACCTTATTCTCTGCTCTTCCTTTTAAAACATGTCACATAATCACTACCTCTGTGTACATCTTTGTCTAACAACCGAGCAACTCCATTAGTAAGTATGGGTCACAGCTGCGGAACACTGCACACAGTGAGCACTAATTTAAGGAAGGTGGTTCAGGTGGAGGGTTCGCAGTGACACTCTATAATGGATGAGAGTGAGGATGGAACCCTGTATACATCATACACCACAAATAACTTAGGATTGTTACCAGAACTGTAGAATTCATCAATGCCACTATTGACGTTCATAGGGGCCGATGAGATCCGTAGTGTAACATAAATTTCCACCAGAATGGGCAGCGCTATATTTGTAGTATAAGTCCCTTTTAGCATACAGTTTAGGCTGTTAAGTCTCCAGTGTTTGTTGCGTCACAAGTACAAGAAACGATTTTAGCAAGTCAGGGTACATCTAGGGTAGTTGGTATTAAGGTATAGGATTCACCAGGTAACGATACTGTCCCCTTAAGGCAATAATGATAGTGTGTACCAATTCATAAGCATTTAGTTTGGCAAGATAGTAAGCAGGTTATTACGGAAGAGCCCTGGGGCCATGCAAAAAAGTCAGAATTCTGAGATTAAAAGTCAGAATTCTGAGAACAGAGACGGATCCCGGTTTCCTCGATCATACTGGTCTGTGCACAAGCGCACATGATGAGGTCGGAATATTTGATTATATCGGCATTCTCGACAGAATACTGGTATCTGCGTTTAGTATAGGGGCATTAGGTTATGTCTGTAGCAACACAAGTACTTGCGGTTTAGCAGTTAGGTAGTGCATAGGAGTAGCTCTCCACCACTCTGGAGTTGCAGTCTCTGGAGGAGAGGGCAAGAGGAGCCTGGTGCTGTGTGCGGCTGGAGTCCTAACCAGGTGGACTACAAGGTTTAGGATGGAGAGCGGTGAAGAGACGTAGGGAATCGTTGCTCAACGTTCTACCTCCCTAGAACGCCGAGCAAGTGAATCACCTGCTGTCTTATCGGAGGACGCGGCATGAAGTGGGAGGAGCTGTGCGCGCCGGCCGACGTGACAGATCCGTGGAGTCGGCACGCCCCTGGAGGGAGAGGACACGCTGCGGCCGTAGCAAACGGATCGAGGTGAGTCTGTGACACTTTGTCAATTACAGGCAACATTTTGGGGGCCACATGGGGTCATACTGTGCCTGATAGAGACTCCAAGTGGCCCCCAAACCTTGCCTGTAATTGACAGAGATGTACACACGTCAATAAAAGATGCATTTGGACATTTGACCTTGGTGTGCTGGTGACATACTATTTCGCATTTGGACACAGCGGCACCATCCGCAGTCACCTAAGCACCCATCCACAAGGGGTATAACGGTAAGGAGTGCGGTGGGATCCCCACAGAATGCTCAGTTGTAGCCTAATACCCATAAGAATGTGCCACAGATTGACAGTTAGCACCACAAAAAATAAATAAATAAATAAATGTTTAAAAAAATCACAGCTAAGCAATAGCAAAATATTAGGAGGTTTAGAAAATTAAGATATAGAATACGATCACATATTAACCACTTGAGGACCAGGGTATTGAACTTCCTTCTGTCCAAGCCATTTTTTACTATTCAGCACAGCATAGTTTGACTGACATTTATTCAGTCATGCAACGCTGTGCTCAAATTAATATTTATAGCTTTTTTGGGGGACACATAGAGCTTTCTTTTTTTGGTATTCAATCACCACTGGGGTTTTTATTTTTTACTTTATTAAGGACAAATTACCAAAAATAAAAACAGTTTCCCCTACATTATGCTTTGAAACAGCCAATTTTTTGGTAAAATATAAAAGATGGGGTCATGTTGAGTAAATAGATACCAAACATGTTAAGCCTTAAAATTGCGCACCCGCGAAACCGCTAAAAATTGCAATACCCCAAATTGGCGATAGGCAATTTAAAAGCTTTTACAGCTCATCAGTTTAGTGTTATCTTTGATGGCCCTAGAATTACTGCTCACAGTCCGACATATGTTATGTAATAATATCTTATATTATGCAGTTATATGTAATATGTGTGGAGCAATTGTCATTTTCGCACGTAGGTGCACCCAACGTTGGTATGTGGGGGCGGGGGACTTAAACATTTTTTTGGGGAGGGGGGGTTTGCATTTTTTTATATGTGACTTTCATTTTTTTTTTCCACACTTAACTTTATTGCTATTACATAGGGGGCTAACATAGGGGGCGCATGTTAGCCTTTGACTCCTAATGTGACCTTTTCCTCCTCCTCAAACGCACATAACAATTTTTTTTTTGCAACACTGCTAATACACTATTTTGGGGGGGGCTGGCCTACACCACAGTGGCTGGTACGCAGTTACCATGGTTTTGGCCAGAAGGTCCAGAGCCAGCAACATTATTTTGTGCAGAGTGTCATCCCTGCCCTCCACCAACCTGTGGAATGTCATGAGGCAGCAGAAGGCAAAGGAGCAACACAAGGAGGAGTGTTGGGGTGGAGATCTACTGCCTCCATCCCAGAGTTAGCCCAAAATGACCCACTCTGAGGAGGCGGTGCACAGTAACTCTTTACCACATTTCTTGATGGTGGCTGGATTCCTGTTCTCAGGGCATAGCTGCAATGGGGAAAACCTACAAGCATAGGCTGGCCACCTTTCCACAACAGATCTTTGGCTTTAACACCTGTTCCTGACATGGGTAAAGATGCCTTTTTTTTTGCAGCATGTTCCTGGATATATTTGCAGTACAGTTGTATGCATCATACCACTACATATTTATGCCCCCTTTTGCCAAATTTACCATTTAGGGAATTCCCTTATTAGAAAACAAGGTCAGGCAGGCCTAATGTGAGAGGCAGAGGTTCCACACATGTAAGTCAGTAGAATTTTACATAAGATAAGATCGTCAGCCCAGACATTGTTCTCTGATGTAAAACTGCATAAGGAATAGGACAGTGAGGTTTCAAAGGAGTTCGAAGTGTCACTTAAGTAACCCAATGAAAGAAAACAGGAAATAATAATTAACTCATACAGCAGAGTTAAAAAAGCAGATCAATGACAAGATTTTCTGAAGCCATAAAATGAAAGTATATATCCAGTGTTGAATTCTAAAAGAATATTGTATAGTGGCTCAAACAATCTAAATATGATTGATTTAACCGACTCCCGGCCGACCGCTGTAGAAAGATGGCACGCACAAGCGGGAAACTGCCAAAATGTAAAAACAGGCAGCGATGCCTGTTTACATACAAGCGAACCGTCGCTTACAGAGCCAACGGAACGCTTGTATAATGCACCAGTATGTGTGCCCCCCCTCCCGCTGGTCCCGAGCTATGCTGTGCCGGGTGCGAGCACGGGACCAGTATGGTAGCTCTGTGACAGGGGATCAGAGGGAGGTCGGTACACAATCTCCCTCTGGTCCCCTCTCTGGTGTCAGAATGCGGGAGTGATGTATATTACATCACTTCCACATTCTGCTGTCGCTCTCCAGCTTCAGAAGCTGGAGAGAAGCTGATCAAGCAGATCTCTGCTTCATCAGCTTCTTTGAGGGATCCCTAGGTGACATTAGGGGTCTTTGAGACCCCTGATGTCTCCATAAAGAGGACCTGTCACATCCTTTTTGCTATCACATAGGGGGGTTTCTTAGCCCCCCTATGTGATAACAATAAAGTTAAGTGGAAAAAAATAGGAAAAAAACTATAAAGTTGCAAAAAAAGTTACACACGTTAAAGTCCCCACCCATACATATACGCATTCAAACATGCGTCGGGTGCAGATACGTGCAAAAACGATGATTGCGCCCATTACGTTGCACATGTTACATATCGCCACGAACATCGCAGTGATAATTCTGACCAGGGCCACCATTAGAAATCATGTGGCCCCATACTGCCTACATGGCTAGTTCCTCCACCCCAGTCACCTAGACAAGTGGAATGAGGTGGCATATGTGGCAAATTGTGGGTGTGGCAAAACTGCATGGGAAATTGTAAAACATGAGCTGTCATATAGGGATCAGAAGTATGTAATATATATAGTTCAGGGGTTAGGAGTAAGCAAGGCAGAGTGCAGAGGTGTCATGGTCTAGGGACCAGGGCACAAGGGTACGTGAGCTCCTGTGTTAGCGGAGTTGGTAGGAGTCAAAGAGGCGGGATATCGGGGATGTAGGTCACAGGGAGAGAGGAACGAATGGTCTGTGCGTTCTGAGGATGCACTAGAGGGCGCAGAATCTAAGGAGGTGTCAGGTATTCGACAGAGCCTCTAGTGGTGAGGATGATTGGCTGCTGGACACCTTCCAGGTTGCGGCCCTCTAGCGCACCCACACAGACGCAAGGGACTAGTTGAAGCAGCGGGGAACTGGATACAAACAGGTAGGGAAGAAACTTGTAACCAAGGAGGAGGAAGACAGGAAGAGGGAGAGAGAGAGAAAGTCTCAAGCAAAAGTGCAAACGCACAGCAGAACAGCAGAGTATACTGAAGAGAATAGATAAGCAAGGACACTAGGGAAGGGTAAGCGGCTTAGAGGCACACCTAGGAGCAGGAAGGTGCAACGTACAAAAGTAAACGAGATGTGCGTTGCACATGCATACAAAGAAGCAGGATAACAGAGAGAAAAGTACACAAAGAAGCACAAAAGGGATGTATGCACACAGGGGGTGTGCAGACAAGGATGAATCCAACACAGCCACCAGGTAAGAGAGGAGCACAGAAATAAAGGGGTGACAGCAAAGCAAAGGAAGATACACTGGAAGGTAAGTGACGGAGTAGAAGTACAACAAGCAGTAAATAGGAGGAAGCAAACAGACAAAGACTGGAGAGGGAAAACACAGTAGAAGTAAGGCAATGAAGGCAGTTTGGAGAGGCGCACAGGTGAAGGCAATTAAGGCCTGCAACAATATACTAAAGGAACCACTGAAATACTATAGTAGGGGTGCAAGGAGCAAAG